CTCTCTCTCTCTCTCTCTCTCTCTCTCTCACACACACACACACACACACACACACACACACACACACACACACACACACACACACACACAGAAAGAGGCATGCGCATTAGAGTGGTGCAGTGGCAGCAGTGCACAATAATTTTCACTAACCACCAAATGAAATTCGAGCATTAGGAATTTAGGACCAAAAGCAATGTAACATCGGAGTTTAGCTCAGTGCAAATTGGGGGAAGCAAAACATGTTTGTACCAAAAAGGTAACGTGGCATGATGTGCTACTATTAGTGCCATGCAAAAAAAAACTGTAAGGTGTGAGGTCCGGCTTCGTGCGGCGCACTGCGCATGGTGCTGGACCAATGCGGTTCATAGCCTCCACCACCAAAGGATGACTGCACTTCGCGACCCACCTTCAGAAGTCCAGAAGATTGGATACAAATCACAATGATTGTGCTACTCGACAGACCAACGCCCGAGACTCCAAGTTGATAACATTTCTTTAGTGTTTGGGGATAGAACTCTTCACATGGAATTTCCGAACTCAAGAAAGACCCAGCAGAAAAAAAAAAGCACAATCTACCAACAAAAGACATTCAACTTGAATCAGAAAACACAAGTCACTGGGATTAGCTTCCACACGGCTATGTACTGAGGCTTCCGCCATCTCTTTGGTTTGGTCGCAAGGTAACACATCAAAAGCTCATGGGCAAAGACCTCAAAATATTAGCCAAAAAATCCGCACGGACCTCTGAGCCCCTTAACGTATGCACTTGAGGATGACAGTTCGTGATTGAATACATAGTCATGCACACAGCCGAGGGCGACAGATGTGTACATTTATCGTCTTCACCCGAATAGAACGCCCGGTCATTATAGCTGCATTTGGCCTAACTTTCAGTCCAGATGCAGCGATAACGACCGGGCGTTCTATTCGGGTGAAGACGGTAGTATGCACACTTGTCTAGGGGCGCAAAAGTCCTTGCAAGCTTTCGTGGGCTGTTGACACCTTGAGTCCTTTCTCCCAAAACTTACGCTGGAGGGTAGCCATGCAAATTCCCAGAGTGCTCTTGGCTCCCTCCCTCCCCTTCTTCCCCCTTCGCGCATTTCTTCCCAACCCCTTTCCCACCCTCCCCTCTCCAACAAGGCCATCAAAACCACCACAAGCAGCAATGCAGACAAGCAGATGAGCTCCCCCCAAACATGCTGACCAGCCAAGCTATGCATGTCTTTACTACACTGGCCGACAAGACCGCAGATCGGCTCCCGAACATGCTCAGCAGGGCAATAATTGCCAGGCAAATGCATCGCCACCAGACAGAATACGACAAGGTGAAAGAGAGCAGATCATCGGGGCAGATTCACAAATTTTAGTGATCTTCGGGGCAGATTCACAAATTCCCTGTGCTTTACAAATTTTAGTGATCTTCGGGGCAGATTCACAAAGTTTTTTTTTTTACTTTTTTTTGGATGTACTTGCCGTCAGATACATCCAGGTCCAGCCGTATTTGCAGTCGGAGACATCTGCGAAAGTCCCAGTGTGAGTATGCTCTTAGCGAGGATCGTGGTCATGAATTCTCAATCCTTTGCGAAAAGTCTGTGTTTCCACTGTTTTGCTTGGCACTGCTCCGTCCGTCCACATCCTTACTTCTTCCTTCAGCCTTCATGAATAGGTGAGCCAAGACCCAGACTTGCCTGATCGGTGAGAGTGGAGGAGGTCGTCGATGGATGCCAACGAGAGGAGGGTCCGCTCAGCACAGGCCTTCCTTTATTTATTCAACCATTTTTCGCGTACAGCGGTCAGTTGGCTGGAGCTGGATTCGTCCAACGAGAAATCCTGAAACGGTTCCAGCCCCTCTGCTGCTGTTAGTCGCAGCACTCTACCCCCAAAAAAAGGATTTAAAAAGTAAACTGCCATGAAGATCATCTCTCATTACATGGCATCTTGTGCGCAACATTCGCTGCAAATGATGGCCATCTCTCATTCCGGCGCATCGAACAATGTTGTTAACTTGTTATCGCAAACAAAAGAAAAAAAATGCAGACGCCGCTGTTGCAATGATGCCTCCTTTTTTACTTTGTTTTTCCCTGAATTTGATTTAGCCCGGCAAACAAGACAAACGACATTTCTCTTTTCCTGAACCTAATCTTGTCCAGAATCCTTGCTAAATTCATCATCAACGTTTATAACATCTGAGATGATCTGACACACATCTCTCTTTTGAGTCAGGTCCCAGTGGACGTGTCACTTTCATAAGCTTCCACGCTTATCTTGTGACTGCTCTTAGCTCATACGAAAAATAGCGTCAGTGACTTCAGTATTAAGCTGCGTAGTACACACAATTCTTTAACTCTGTTAAAGTTGGAACGTCAATATCAAACTTACAGGTTAGGGCAAACTCACATCAGGACATTTATCGTCTGACGTAATTGCAGTCAGATGCATTCAGCTCCAGCCATAAATGCGGTCCAATACATTTGAGATAGAGCTAGTGTGAGTATGCCGTCGGTGGGTACACAAAACCTTGACAAAAAAAAGTCGACACTGAACAACTGTTGAGGACATCCATTAAAATTGGCGCAATAACAGAGACAATTAGCACGGCCCTTGCGCAAGGTTGGCAAGTGCAAATACAGTCTGATTCCATGGACCTTGCACAGTCAGAGTCCAGCAAGGTTTCGCTCGAACATGCATCAAACAAGTTCTGGCCTGGCACATATCAACAAAGCAGGGAGACTCTCAAGCACCTAATCACAGCTGTAGGTACTGATTGAAGAATCAGAGTTTGGACCATATACCTTTCTCGGCCTTTTGGCTAAGATCAAGTGTAGTATCTGTTCTGATCAGTTTAATATCTGGTCCGTGGTCCATCGGCCCAAGCAAAGCGAAAGTAGCACCACCCACAGAGAGAGAGAGAGAGAGAGAGAGAGAGAGAGAGAGAGAGAGAGAGA